AACGAATACCAATAGGGCATACTATCCGCCATTAAAGATCAACAGTATTTTGATTCAAGGTACAGTGTTATATTCCTTACACTTCCTGATGTATATCAACAAAATATCTGGTTGTTCGGAAAGTTATTTCCCTTTTTATATGAAAATGAAGGACGTCTTTTTTCTAGAGAGTACATATTTTAATGGATTATATATTGTCCATTCTGGTCCAATACCTTTTGCCATCTTTCTGGCAGTAGCATGATTCTACGCTCATAAAAGGTTTGTTCTTTGCTGGCATAAAACTAATCCAGGTGATTTTTAACCTCCTCATTTGAAGTAAAGATTTTACTGTCTAAAATGGTGTGAGAGATGGGAACAAATACTAATCAGAAGGTGCCAGATTTGGAGAATATGGTGGGTGTGGCAGTGTATCCTGTCCAAACTGTAACACTTTTGGCAACTTACCAAACTTGTATGAAATCTCGCATTATCTCGGTCGTGCAGTACACCATTTATATTGATTAATTCTGCCCTTTTCTGTTCAAGTGAATCATTCAGTTAGTTCAGTTGATGACAGTACACTTCAGAATTGATCGTTGTGTTGTCCGGTAGAAGCTCAAAAGAAAACGATTTTTTTGAAATCTAACCAAACTGGTATCACCACTTTTTGATATCGGTTTTCGAAGTAGTTCGCGTCGGTTCACCTTTTTTAATCCATGATCTCGCGTTTAACATTGTTGTAGACAACCCATTTCTCGTCCTCAGTGATGATGCGCTTCAAAAATGGACCATTTTTTGACGTTTGAGAAGTAAATCACAGGCGTCAACGCGGCGGCACAAATTTCTTTCCATAAGAACATGAGAAACCTGCAGTTCAACTTTGAGATGAAATCTAGGCGTTTCAAATGATCATGAACAGTAGCATTTAAAAAGATGTAATCCCTCAGTGATCTCACAAACTGTTGTTCGCCGGTTTGCATCAGTTAATGCAAAGTAATTAAATACCTGCTGCTATTTTTTAAATTGTTAATTAATACAATTAATTAGTTATTTAATGTGGGATCGAAATTTTGTAAATCAATTTTGTCAGTGGCGTTCTGTCAATACATCTTCTCCATACACATCCAATAATTTTTTCACATTTGAACAGCATTTTCACTTTTTCGATAGTAAAATGTAAAATAGGCCGAAGATGCTGCTTTTCAATTCCCATATTTGAAAGGATAACAACCAAAACCTACTGCCTAAAAATATCGAACTTATGCACAAGCAAGCCTTGCTATATCATTGTCAAATTATAAAATATTGCGGCTTAAATGAGAAGTTGGCTGTGAAAAAAAGCACAATCTAACCTTATCTTGAGGAAAAACGAAATTACTTTCCGAACAACCAGATAACTGAAAAAATTAAGTTTGGGACACCACATCTCTTTGCAGATTATAAAATAATACCATACACCTTCGATATCTAGTGTTTCAGCGATGCTTCAGAACCCGTTTGCGTCGATCTGCTGGCCATGTCATCATGGTGCACCGATTGGCAAATGTCCTTCTCAGCGGACGAATGTGGTGTGTTAACTGAAAGTGCGAAATTTCGCCAAATACACTTTACTTTGGTGGTAATCCCATCCCCTATAATAAGACTATACGTGATCTAGGCATCCGGTAGTCTAGCAATCTGAATTTTGGTGAGCAAGTTGTATTCATAGCGTCCGGATTACGAAGAAGTGCAAAACTCATCTTAAAATCATTCTCGATTCTTGAACCTAAACTGCATTTGTTCAATGCTTGCATTCATTCTGTGCTAGAGTATTGCATGATTATTTTTACAAGCGACAGGAAGCGCCATCACATGTATTTAGAAAACGTGCAGCAATCGTTCACAAAGACTCTTTAACTCATCTCCCCGAACCTGTTACAGATGTTATTACTGGTGCCACTGTGACTAAGACACATGAAGCTAAGATTCACATTCCTATTTGACTTGGTTCATTAGCTTGTACTCGCACCAAATATCACTATGCGTTTCAAACAAGAAGGTAGCTACGCAAAATCAAACTCCTAGTGTTCAAAACGAAAACGAATGTTCAAAGACATTGCAAATTTAACTGACACACTGAAAGCTGGAAGACTACCTGTGCAATAAGTGCCTGTGTTTAAGATAGTAATTTCCAGGTGCCTGACGATGTAACACGTAAAAACAATGTTGCAACTAAATTGCAATACAAAGGGGAGGAGAGGGCCAAGATGGGCATGTAGAGATTACAAATATACGGAAAATGTACTACGTCCAGTGTATTTACTTAGCCAGACTCTCCTGAACAGGTACATTGAAAAAAGTTGAAGTTAACAGAACTCTCTTCCATACCCAACCATCTTCATATTCTTTACTTGGTAAAGCATACCTCACAGACAAAGCAGTAAGTGTGAATTGAAGAGAAGCTGAAAACAAAGCTTGAGATAGTGATTTTTGTTTCCACTCTTCATATTCTGCTTATTCAGCCAAGCCTACCTTACAGCCATACCAAAAAGTGTGAGCTGAGAAAGAAACGCTTCCTTGGTTGCCCTACTGGAAACATGTCAGGCAGCAAGGTGAAGCTAACTGATTCTGCTTCCAACATCTTCATCCCTATTTCCAATATATCGCTTCTATTTTTCATATTATCTCGTTTACGCCTAGCGTACAGTTAAACCAAAACCCCTGAGCCAGTGAACAAGTGCCAACCACGTTTGCCTCAAACACAACAAACAAATCTCCCATTCTATATCTCAGCCCATAGGTACAGCGTTCTAAGATACTTGATCCTGATGGTCTACCTCCTGCTCTATTTAAAGGCTATTCGCTTTATCCTCAGAACTCAGGGTAAAAGAGGAGGTTTCATCATCCTGGAGTGAGTCGATAGTCGTCCCCATTTTCAAAATGGGCCCTGCGCACAAACTGCCCCAATTACAGAGGCATAAGTTTGGTTCCCGTCGTTTGCAAGATTTTTGTATCCCTTATTCTTCGCATTGTGACGTTTCGCCCTTGACACAGGAAGAAGCGCTTGTGTCAACGGCGAAACGTTATCAAAATAAAAACTTACAGAAGACCGATTGCATTCTATAACCTTTGGAAATTATAACAGAAAGCTTGGTTCCGTCCGTACCCAAAGCTCCCCATCAGGACACCATGAACTATTGTTTGCCCATTCGACACTTTGAAATGGATAACCGTGGATGTTACAAACACGATTTTTATTTCTGCCTGTAATTATCACACGAAACAAATGTAAAATCTGATCATGCCGAAAAGGGCATTCCTTGTAAACCCATGGATATACATTATTACTATTATTATTGTTATTGGGTCGAACTTACCCGAATCTTTTCCGTTTTTTGTTAAAGTGACCGTCTATCTTTTCGATCAAAATCATGAGCGTTCACGTATTGCTCGCACCGAACAGCTCTCTTCGACCTGTTCCAGCGTTGCTCACTGTGCTTTGGAGCCGGATGAGAACTGTTTGAGTTTTACTGAACTGTACCTAATACTCTTTAGCTGTGTTTCCCCTTGCTGATTTGGCGGGCGGCTTACCATCTTGTGTCAAGCTTGCATGAAGCGGTGGTTGAAACTAGATCTTTCTGTTCTCGAAGCGTACGCTAGTTTGGAACGGGTCGCTCTGAAACAGTTAAGGTGCGGCCTAGTGTTATTCAGTGGATCGTAATTCTGTAAAAATCGAATCAGAACACCTGGATCTCGGGTTGACTGGAGGATGTAGGTTGACTGTCTGAGCCGGGCAATTTTGTCTCACACTTATTACCTCCAGTCGGGGTAGTATTTTCAGTGCGTAGTAGTAATAACTTAATAGCAGTTGCTGACTTTTGAGCCAATGCAAGTACGGATTGCAACTTCTTTATGCGCCTCGATTGCCCTCATATATTCGGACACCAAAGTCACATTGAGTTCCACTACGCTGTAGCGTCATCGGCAGCAGTACATGCTTTGTTGGCCTACATAGTCTTCCGTTCTGATGTTTGGAGTGTAGGCGAAAAATTCGCCCGTGGTTTGAGAAACTCGCGAAACTTCCGTGTCAAGCTAAAACAATGCCGAAAGCTGACTTCGGTACTGTACAAATAGATAACAAAATGTAATGCGGACATACCTTACCACTACCCACTCGGTGCTGAAACAACTGGATCTTTTCAAGTTACACAGGGGAAGTGCTAAATCACCTTACTTTCCATTGTACTGCCAGCGTCTGCGGGCTATGTCTCACAAGCTCTCTTATTGGGTCACATGCCCCTACCCAATGACGATTTAACTGCGCTGCGCATAGAGGCATACAAGGCGTTCGATTCACTGAAGGCTCGTAAGGGGTGCTAATGGGTGACGAGGCAAGTGTGTGCGAAGGTGCGATTAAACAGATGGCTGATAGATGTGACCCATGGGGTAAGATGCACAATGGGAAGCGAGCAAGTGTGACAGCTAGGGTTGGAATAAAACCATGGTCGGCATCGAATAGGAAGACAATGGGGGTTGACAAGTATACAGTAAGCTAACGTTTAGCAGATGGCGCACGTATCAGGTTTGGTTGTCCAGAACAATATTCCAATATCTAAATATCGACTTGCATTTTAACATTACCGTTAACTGAAAGCTCGTGACTCGAATCTAGCAAATTAATCATCAGTCACGGACGCTCATTGCACAGCTACCTGCGATGTATCTGACACATGCGCTATCTCTGAGCTTTTCGGTTTTCTTTCGGAGCTGTTTTGGATCATTTTTTACAGACAGGTGCAACCTTTTTCTCATAGAGCCGAATTTATTTTACCTGTGGAATGGGGCGAGACAATTGGCCGTCTTCTGGGATGAACTAATCGATTGTTTTGTTTATCTGTGAGACACGTTGGACTCATCGACTCATTATCCTCCGCTGGGACTCTCATCAGCGTCTAGTACCCTGTCGCATCGTCATAGATGAATCAAAGGAAATTCACCAGCGCTTTCCAATTCACCCTTTGTCCCTTTTCCGATTGCAGCGATTTCATTCGGCACACCGCAAATCGTGTGGCTGCCGTAGGATCGGATTTTTGGTTCCAGGAACCGCTCGATCAACTGGTGCCTCATGACTTCTGGGAAAAGGTTAGCTATTGATTGCGATCTCTCTCTCTCTCTTGTGTCCATCGGGAAGGAAAATATTTATTTCATAATGCTGTCCGTTTTATTCTGTTTTAGTGGTCTTTGAGCCAAGATGAAGTTTCCAAAGGGATGGATGTGTTCGACGTTTGGTTCGACAGCGGATTGTCTTGGTTAACCGCATTACGCGGTGCGTTGTATGTTTTTCTTGCCTTATTACTGATCTTTCACATGCTGGATTTTCAGTTCTATGCTCGACGCTGTGCAGTACATGGTGGATTTGTCTCAACCAATGGAGTTGGCTTGATCGCCCGCATAGGGCCTCACTGGAGAACATTGTTTTCGCTGAAGCTACTGGTCACTTACAACGAGTGTACAACATCATTTTGTACTTGAATAATGTTCTTGGAGAGAGTAAAAAATTGGACCCTATTTATGCCCTGTGTTCGCATATTCCCCCTAATGTGTACTCCTCCCGTTAGACTACTCGACAACCGATGCTGGATGGGATTATCTGCAGTTGCTGTATTTGTGTGTTTCAGTCGTTATACCTGAGAGGGACGGACGGCTGAACAGTAGCATGAGTCGGGTCCTCAGTCAATGCGGTAGGGAGTGCACCACTCTCCTGACCTGCGTCTCGGCTCATTTCCAGAGACTTGTTCTGCCTCTCACTCTGTACTCGCCGCGATAGCCTCTTCTAGACGATAGCGGGTGATGGATCTTTTATTAACTCTTAGCCGCGAATCTCACGAGGCCAGAACTTCTGATAGGTTCCATTCTTGCCGCTAATCTTGCTTACGACTTGTAGAGCTTTAATCTCAATTTGTCTTTGGTGCGTTTGCATTTTATCTCTTTAAACCGTTTCTTATATCGCGATTTCAAGTTTTTTCATTTACGAACATGAACACTTATGTCATGTTACTTCGTTTCGATCGTCTAATCGCCCACGAACTAGCTTCCCTACGAACTGTCGCGCTGTTAGTATGAACTTCTGTCCCCTACAGGTTTGAGTTTCCTCCGAAAATATTGCCCCTCAACACGCCTCACACTATCCCTCGCCTCTTTCGGGCAACGTTTTTTTCTTCCTTCACTGCGCTGCGTGCAAACATACTGCATGTTTCTTGTTGCATTAATTATTGTGTGTTTTTATTTTCTGAGTGCAACGGTGTGTCACCTGATGTCACTGACATAGCATTGTGAGTCATTTCACGCGCGTGGATAGCTTCCCACCTATTTTGTTTCAGAGGGATACTATGGAAACAAAGTGACCACGGAAGTCGCCGATCTTTGTTTGGAGGGGCATGATCAGTTTCGCGGCTGGTTCTCATCATCTCTGCTGCTTGGTGTAGCTTTGCGTGGCAAGGCACCTTACAAGTGAGCCTCTCTGTCTCGGTCACCTGTTCCCACTTTACCTCCGTCATCTTGCTGACAGCGCAAATGAATTATACCACAGTGCTCGCTCGTTATAATTAGCGGGATCCCTCGGATTCAAGTCTCATGCAAGGTATCTCACCTGATATGGGTCTCGAGTGTCCACTACAAGCGTTCCACGAGTAGTAGCCGTTGTACTTCAGGTACTGTCCTATTAATCGGACTTCCGTCACATGTCACATTTAAATTGCGAACTAGCGCTTACGTAATCCGAGGCAAATCGTTACTGATGTTGTTACTCTTTGTCCCTACTATCATCTACATGCCTTCCGTTATTCTTTTAAATGTTTACTTCGTTTCTAACTCTTTCACTCACTTTGCTTCACTACTGTCGATTAATTTTACTCTGTCACTTGACCGAATTCCCCATTTGATTTGCGCTTATTTTCCTGTCGATGTCGTTCCTCTTAGTTAACGTTTCGAAGCTGTCCGCTAAGACTTTTACCCTAGACCAGGGGTTCGGGTTCCCAACCTTTTTGCGGTTGTTACCCCTAATGTTTGTTCAGTATCAACAGTAATCCCCAAAAATTAGTTTTCAAACCAAATTAACTTTAAGCTATCTCGCGGTTTTACTTTAAATTAGGGAAAATACACTCTTTTTCCAAGGAATTTTATTCATTCAAACAACTACGCATATTTTTGAACAATTTTTGCTATTAAATGAAGAGGTAACACATAAGTTAATGAGTCGTGTCATATTGCTTGGCTTCAATAATTTCTTTCGCGTTTGGTGCAGCTTCGGTCCATATACATCGTAAGTCCTGTTCCAGATCTGATTAGCCCCTCTCCTGTTGTATGAGGCTTCATGTTTTGGCTGTTCGAAGAGCGATGCGTTACGACGTTTCAAGACCAGCTTCAGTTGACTGCAGAAACCAACCAGACGGTTACATGCGCGTAATTTACAGTGCAACTTCTTTATGTTTGAATAATTCTGTAGCTTTTCCTATGAACTGTTACTGACTTCTTTCAAAGTGTGGTTTTAATTTGCTGGGTTTAATGCTCTCTGCTATGTACACAATACACCTTGGGGCCTCCCAACATTTATAGCAAATAATGAGTAAAACACCATTGCAGGGAGCCTACTTTATATGACCGCTTTTCCCAAAGAGATGGCTCCTACAGTAAATATAGCTTATGCAACTGGACATGTCTCATATACATATAAGTATAAATATACATTACGATTATATTACAATTAAATTATTAAGCAATATCCTACACGTTTGCCATATTTCTCTTTCACGTAACTTGACACAGATGTCTGAGACATGTGACTTTCGTAAACTTGAAAATAAATGCATTATTATCAATGTTTAATTGCATACATGTAATCCGCCCACTTGATTCTGCTTCAAGTCCACACACACTATGATATGTTCTGAATTTAGCGAACTTGACATCACCAACGTCACATTCAGGAATTGTTCATATGGCGGTAAACGACTGCTTGACTCCAACAACCAATAATCGACTAGCTAGCCGATAGACACACCATCTAGCTGCGCTGCGTTGTAGGCTTGTATTCGTATTTTACATAGTGACATTTATTAGTCAAGTCAAAGTCAAAGTAGGCTTTATGTACCCGGGTAGGTGCATTTTCAGCATGTTACACTATCACTGCGGATGGTGATGTATATGAAATTACTGTTACATAAAAAATAAAACGCGTAAAAATGTCTACACTTATCACTCGAGCAAATAATTTCGCATCATACTGATAGTTTTGGTTGGGTCAACAAGCAAGCGGGACAGGTACGGTAGCACAGAATTGCGGTAAGATGCAGTACGTGAAAATAGAATCTTAAATTTGGAGCGGGTAGAGGAAATAGATAATGTTTTTGATAGGTCACAATGTAGTGGATGAAGAGGGTCGTTTAGAATTTGTGAGGAAAATTTGATACAAGTGTGTAGGTGCTTGTTGGCAGTAAAATCCACAAGGGACTCTCTAGACAATCCGCTGCATCTGAAAATAAGTTTTCTGGACTGCAAAATCAATATATAGTCCTTTTTGTGTAACCCAGGTAACATTATAGGGGACCAGTAGTCAATGTAACAGTATACATGCAGTCACGAATCTAAGAATCAAATCATGAGGTACTGAAAGTACTTAAGTCAAAGAGCATAACATGACAACCATCTAACCTTAGAAAACATTTCGGCAACATGAATAGACCAAGATACGTTTCGGAATAAAAAGACCCCTAGAAATTTAATACTTGACAATTTGCATCTGAACTGATCACTCACTGCCAATTGAGAAGTGGTGTCTAAAGTAACTAGTAACTTGTCAGCTCGGAGAAACGAGAATGTTAAGTCACGACATTTCGAAGGGTTCAAAATCAGGGATCGGGATGAGGACCAAAGCACGAGCTCATCTAGAACATTTTGAAAGGTAGAAGTTGTCACAGCAGTTGGAGTTACGCATCGGAATACGAAATCGTCAGCATACCTTCATTCAATAAAGGTAGATGGTATGGGGAGCTTTTCAGTGTATAAGGACAATAGGGCGGGTGAGAGGATGGCTCACTGTAAAGCACCTCGACTAGAGAGCAATGCTGATGTGTTCGCCCCATTAATCAGTTTCTTTCGGTGATGATGATGAGGATGAGGATGAGGTTTTTTTTCTGGACTGACTTATCGAGCAAATTTACCATATCCAGCTTTCGTATTTTCCACTATAGCCTAACTTCTGATATGCTTAAACAACGCCTAAATTATGCCTTACGTCCTGGAGATTGCTCATACTGTTTCTCACTTGCGACGCGATTGTAAAGTAACCAAATTGTGTTGCACGCCATATGTCTGGTTTGCGATACCCAATCTCCGTGGGGATCACAATTTGTTTTGAAATAAACCCCAGCCATTGTGATCACTGGGACTGTGTCCGAACTGGACCGCTTTTGTGTTGCTTCCTTTCAGTAAATGGTAGTTTAATCCTCTTCTCCAAATCTCAACTGGTGGTCATTGTGCTTGACTCTACCGCTCAACGAATTAGTTTGGAATACTTTAATATTCGGCTCTCCATATCTGCCTGAAACACTGGACAACGGTGAGCGACCAGAAGGGCATTCCGCAAATTAGACAAATTGTAATGTTGCGACACGCATCCATACGTGGCCCTGCGAAATACTTAGGTGCCATCGACCTAGGTCGAATAACACTTGAGAATTTTATACATGCTTGCTCTTACCTTGATACTAATTACAATTTGTCATGCTAAATGTTAGCTATGTGGATTGAATAGGTCATTTTAAAGCACTCATGTGAATGGATTTCGACGCGCAATCTCATTGTGTGCCGCGATTTGCCCTGCAGTAAACCTTGGTCAATGCAGTAACTGAGACCGTAACTGTAGCAGATGGCTATTAAATGTTGCCCGCCCGCAAACAGTATACTCCGCAACACCTTCAGACCGCATTTGATCTCATCAGGTAGAGATAACAGGCCTCGAATCCCGAACCATTGGGATGATAACTACCGGGTCACAACATCGATAGTTGGGTGTAGTGTTTCCAGGCAGACTACACCAAATATCCAGCCGCTAGACATTAGGCATGATGTCGTGCGGCAGTAATGATTAATTCATCCTTTTGATCACCCTCAGACTTTCACACTGCACTTATGAACATAATCCTTTTGGTGAACTACTTGACAGTCTAAGACATTCCGAAGTCTCATTCTGGCAATTTCTCATTTTCTCCTTTATTTTGACATTTTTACACGACTTATGGTGAGTATACCCGGATATTCACCATACCTCTATACAAAGTACCTCTTGATCGGTTGCAATACGACAATGTTATCCATCATTATGCAGGTTTATCCAACTAAACGTCCGTTGATGGAACAGTGTTGAACCATACACCACCCTTCACCGTTTCCTGAACGTTTCCATCTTCCACGTGAGGCTGAGTCTGTTGTGACAGTCGCTGATCGTTTCCGCTTGTTCTGTAGCTCGCTTATCCTTAGTGTGTTTCCAAGACCAGTTCCATTAAATGTCGCATCCTACTATCTATCCATTTTCATATAAATTCTCCTACATATACTTAACTCGTATGAGATTTGTTTGTTGGTCCTCCGACCCGACCCGATTAGTCACAATATAATCTGTATGTTTGTTTTGATCCTTGATAAACCTCAACGCCCCTTACTCGATAAGCCCCAGTTGCCACAATCGTGGCTATTTAAGGTCCGCAAATCCTTTACATTGTTCCTACGCCCATGAGCACCGGCCTCCTGATTAATCATTTGTTTCGGGGGCCAATAGGCCAGCTTTGTCTCATTTGTGATTCGCTGTTCTAATTTCAAGTTGACTCTTTTTCAATTTCCACTAATATCCGGTCAGCATATGTTGCTGTTTTGTTGACGTCTGCGCCTAAAACTGTGATTGCAGTTCGTAAACCGTACAGCTAGACCATATATTAAAGTTCGTGCACCTCAAAGCAATCAGCCGCTGTTTCCAAGTTTGCCATTAAGGGAGGGAGCTCTCTGGAACCGCGTTGGTTATGATGATTACACTTGATTTGTTTGGTTTGCTTTGGTGTGAAGGAAAAGTAGTTTGTAACAAAGATGGATGTAGTTGATTTGGACCTGGGTCATGGAAGCGGAACGATGATCCAGAGCCGAGGCTCGGAAAATCTATTTAAGTGCTTGCACAATGAACATAATCTCAGGTTACTAGCACCGTACTCTCGCCGCAGTAGGTTTTTTGTTCTCCTCATCAGTGAACTACGGGATATGGGGGCGTAGAAGAGGCAATCATGCACACTGCTACTCACTTTTGGGGTTCAATCAGTGATGTCAATGTCGACGCAATTACAGATGGCGGAGAGCTTCTTTCTAGACAACTGGACAATATAGATAGCCAAATATATACAATTCGGGACTCGATCACAGTTCGACAGTTGGTCAGTGACCTACTTACGGGTCGTATTTTGACGCAGCGTTGGGGGAATACGATCGACGATTACTAAAAGGGTTTGATTCTGAAACCCTGAGATTTCGGCGGAGTTCGGCTGAATCAGATATAGCAATCATATCTGTTAATCGATTCACACATGTGTTAAGTAATTGAATGTGCTGATCAGGGCTCATGGGTTTTGCCATTATCTGCGCAACTCTTACGAGATCACACTGTGCTTAGCGTACGCGACGAAATAAGTGACTGACTGCTATTGTGACAAATATCAGTCACTTATCAACGTATAAGTATCTGCAATAATGAAACCAAGGAATCCAGGTACATAATTTCCTGGATAGCCACTGATTTTTGTGCTGTATCCCGTACGGAATTAACGTCATCCCAATTTAAGACGTCACAAGATACAAAATGTCTGTTCTGCTATCGCCTGCACTCATGACAGATAGCCGTCCAACTTGGGTCGGACATGTGTACATTGCTCCAAACACACTATACTTGATTGTCCTTGGTCACCAGGTTCAATTCATTTGAGTGCGACAGCCTGTGATTCACACTGGAGCATTCCGTAAACGTCAGGGGATATCGCAGACAGCAAACGTGTCTTTTCAATGCTGTTTATTGAATGATTCAACGGACAGTAATACCACTTGCTTGAAAATCACTTCCCTTGATTGTGAAGTGATAGAACGCGACCCAAATGTGCTACCAATTGGCAGCATCACATCGGAAGTCATCAATCCGGGGAGCATATCACAACCTCCATTTGTTGTTTGCGTCGCAAGTGGGATTCGTGACCGGCATTACCATTGCTTCCATTAAGGTACCTGAAGCCTCTTTTACTGAAGATCGTTTTTTCGCCCTTACTGGGCAATCATAACTGCACCAGTTGCTATACTTCTGTGCTTGAAGAGAGCGTAGGACACTTCGGGGACTACCATCGAACGAGTTCAGTAATGAGGTATCTTTGCCGCCTAGAGGAGTGTGCGAACCCGTTCATAAGAATTGAAGCATCCTTTCGTTTTTTGCACTGCAGCCAACGTTGCTTAGGTGATTCCAATGGCGATTATAGCCTAAGTAATCCGGCGATCTGTGCGTATGCAAACCATCTGCAGCGTTTTGGAAAATGCATGTTAGCGCTACTATGCAGGAGGATGTACTTTCACCATTGTCACCAAGTTTAACCTATGCTCTATCTGCTGGCATGTAATATTGAATATGTAATCTTCGTTTGGACGGGTTCCGTTGTTTTTCTTTACCCCTTTGCCTGAATGGATCTAGTGAGATATTTCGATTCACTGCGTCTACAAGTATTGCATATAGTGCTTGAAACACTTAGTTCGGCGGATGACATCTTAGCCTTTGGTACCACTCGAAAGTATCATAAAGTTTAAATTCACGGCCTTAGCTTCCTATAGGACTCTGGCGGCTCAGTCGCAGCTGGTCTAACCAATCTGTTCTGATACTGTTCACTAAATCTCACTTCTATGCTTAGTAAAAGCCAAATAACGTCTTGGGTACATCACCAAGTTTGCTTGACTAACGGGGGATGCTAATCTTCATCAATCCACAAATTCCCCCTTAATAGAATGAATCAAGAGAGGCAGATTCTGAATAGAGAATTCTTTTCGATAATTTTCATTAGACTCAAACCTTACATGGTGACAATTGTTAAATGTGCCGGATAGAGCTGCGTATTGATCAGAAGATTTAACTCCAACGGGGACGAATCAATAGATCGCGCGGTCATTGAAATTGTCAGATTATGTACAGGGGCAATTCACCTTTACAAACAAAGGTTAACTTGAGCACAGATCTGATGAGAATTACCGAAAAGAGTTCTTTACTTAGAATCTGCCTCCCTTGACTCATTCTACATCTCCAAGTTGTTTGTTTCATCTTAATTACCTCCAGTCTGTTCATTCGCATCGTGTTTTGGTGTGTCCCAGTGAACGTTGTATTGACCAAGTGCTTGGACCGCACCACAGATACGAATGAGAGTTTTCAATGACTGAAGCCTATCTTTGGATTAGTTGTTTTGTCGGTTATTGATGTTGTTGTTCATAAAAGAGCGTGTTAAAACAATTTCTATTTCCTAAACCACCTACTCTGCGACTGCCAGTGCAATTTCCCGCGTCAACTGACCACCGTCCCTGAGTTCACTGTAGCAAATGAAATGCATCCGCGCTGTTTTGTCCCTTTCTGGCATGCTCTTTCTTCAAAATGACGTGACCTACTGTCTCATTTGTTTCTCTTCCTTCTTCTAGCGTTTTCGTTATTCGATTGTCACACTTAGAGAAGTCATAAATAAGACCTCTCCTTTGATTGCACCCAGTTTCTTCTCAGACGTCGCGTGGTGGCGGATGCGGGGCATTGCACCCCATCATACGTTTGGTTCATTGGTTGTCGCGATAGATTAAATGAAAGGAACGGAGGGGTGGCCAATCAAGTCCTCAACCCTCCTATTCATCAAAGAGCTACTCAGTTGGCGCTACTTACATGAACTAGACAGACAGCTCGAGATTGGTTAGGCTTTTTACATGCAAGGTGGGATGCTGTTGTAAGCACCGGGAGACTGACATGCTCCGACCAGCGGCCATCAGAAAGATTAACTCGGACTAACCGATATAAATGAAGAGTAACAGCGCAGCGATTTAACCCTCTACTCTCTATGATTGGCTAGTATGCTGCCTGCTCAACACTCTTAGTTTTACTACTCAAGTGGCTGTACCACACGTCGTCCCTTGGAAGTTCAGTATGATGGTAAATGACTTGGCCGAGGCGTCAATTGCTTTACTCGGGAGGAAATCAAATCTCCCATAACAAGTCATCATTTCAACAAGAAGCTTCTGATATGCATTCGTGTCAGGGACATTCATGTCCTTCATAGGACCTTCGTACTTACTTCCTTAATAGATAGCGGTAGTGAGCAACTGATCAGCTGGCTTGCCGAACAACCTCCCCATGGTGTCAACTGGATGGTTCGGGTTTTAATCCGTTCCAGCAAATAGTTGGGCGGCAATGTTTCAGGACGTGGTGGGTTTTCGCCTGGCAAGCATTCTCCCTATAAAAAGCCACGAATGTCTGCTTAACAACACTGTGACTTGGCGGATGTAACTCATCACTAAATGAAGTCACTGCCCAAACTTACGCTGACAAGCAACAATCCTACCTACATTTATGGATCCACATATATGAAAATCCTATTATACTGTTGCACATTTCTTGATCAATTGTTGTACTATTACTATGATTAATTCTTTAATGCCGTGCCCTGCGTTGCCCAGAATAAAAATTTATTTATTAATCAGAGCAGTTGACTTAGCTGCTCTGGAATGTGAACATATTTGAGTTGACCTACAAATATCCATTGATTTTACATTACTTGTTCCCTTTTCGATAACTGCTCTTCTAACACACTTTTGCCTCCGGGCGTTGACTTCTGCTTCTGGTTGAGATTTGAAGTTTGCAAGGAACATTAACAAACAAATAAAGCAAATTTTCGACTATACTGGGCACATGCTTAGAGATAAACTCAACCGGAATAGCATAAAAGGAAGCAGATCTAACAGTCCCCCTTAAAATTACAACTAAACTCCTCCTACTCATAAGTAATATAACTGTAGTCTCTCCTAGTTTCGAATGATATTCTGGTGAAGCCGTGAGCTGGAGGCTAGACAGTCATCTGCGAAATTAGTAACCTGCGTGGCAGTAAAATATAGGTCGTGCTATCTCCCTGTTAGCTTACAATTTATGTAGCCCAGCTGCCGTCCCCCATAGCTTAGTAGCTTAAGCTGCTGGCAAGTTGGCGCCAGCCTCTAGCGGTCATGGGTTCGATTCCCAGTAGGCGAATGAGGGAATGCGCACCAGTGACGAGCTCCAATAGGCCGAAACACGTCTGTTGCTTTTCCGGATTGTGACTGAGCTTGTGAGCTGTTGGGACGAAAACATTAAAATCACAACTAAAATCCTCCGACTCATAAGTTCCCAATATCATAGAACATCCACTCTAACTGGTGCATTGGTTCACACAATCAAGATAGCTGTATCGCTCCTAGTAACCAGCTCCACGTAGTTGTTCAGTGTATCGACATAACACGAGCGGATTTTCTAAGCCTTTGTCATTCGTGGAGATGGCATGATTCTATCTTATTGGTCAGGGTAGTCTACACGGCGTTGTGATATCGGGATCACGGAAAGCTGCTGCGTATCGCGAAAACGGTGCACTTGTTCTCATACACATAGGCGATAAAGTTGGTAAGTGCTGGTACCACTGGGTGGAAGATGCTGGAGTACGCATGTTGGCGTTCTTCAACAGCTCTTTTGACGTTGCTACTTATCATCTACTAAGCTTGAAACGCGTTTGTTGGCTAGACCAAGTTCCTCGAGTTTCTGTTCATTGTTTACGTCGGCGTATATTGTTTGTAGTTATTGTTCCTGGTTAAGTCAATCTCCGCATATGTCAGCAGGAGACATGGCGAGAAAGCGCGGACGGAACTGGGAAGCTTGCTCTAATTTTGGTATGCGGCCGGGCAGAATTGGACATAGGATATTCGAGAAATCACTGGCTGTTGTTCCTGCATTTACTCAGATGCTTCTACTTGTTGAGTCTTCTACTTTGTCGTCACTATTTTTTCGCGCTTTCTCCTTTTAACTTCCTTCCGGGGTTTTGCGTTCTACATTTTCCCACACTTTTCCTGTCATCGTGATTTTGCACTACTTTAGGTTTATTCCTTCCTTGTTGTCACTTTGTGCTTTCCACTCTAGGTCACTTATCGTTCACGGCTTCACCACCGACTCTAACGGCCGGAAAATGTCCAAGTCACTCGGTAATGTGATATCCCCCGAAGAACTTTTGGAGAAACATAATGGTTGTGTAGATATCCTTCGGCGATGGGCTGCGTGCTCTGCTTTGGATACACTCGCCAGTGTGGGGGTGAAGGAAATAGCCGCGCATGCAGCTTGTCACAAGTCTGTGAGTTCCTTGTTGTTACTCACTGCTGACTTCTGTGGTCGATCTTTTTCTTGTAATCATATTCAAAGCGTCAAGTTCAGTGTGTCATGTTTCGAACTATTGGTATTTTTCACTCAATACAGCGGCATTGATGCTATTCTTTATTTGGTTAACTTATAATACTATATAGCATATATAATATATATAATAATACATATATATACTTATAATGAGGTTAAGAACTCGAGGAGCGCTACGTGTCATTTTGCTCTTTGAGTAACTTCTCATTACTTTTCTGGGTTTTCACACTCCACGTTTCTTGTGATATTGATTCTCGCCTGTGTGATTTGTGTGACCCTGTCTGTGGTGCTATTTGTTTATCACAAAGCATGTCACGGCGCTCTCATTTCGGAGCTAGCGCCCCTGATTACTCATTTGTAGCCCCTTTTTCTCACCACTCGGAAAACTTCTCCACTTACCTGCTTTTAGGTTTCATGTTTGCCTCGCTGTGCCAAGTCTTCTCATTGGGTTGTTTGTCGTCTACGTGGCTATCATAATAGGTTCGAACCCATGGATTGTAATGCAGTAAAAGATACACCAGGTTATGTGGGCATATGTCACTGCTTTCTTCCATTTCTTTGCTTTTACTGCGTACAACTTTTGTTACTGTCAGCCTGTCGTCTCTAGAAATCCGTCTACAATTCGCTATTACTAACGCGTGGGAGGATTTTTGAAATAATTTTGCCAACTCGTCTCAGCAGCTCACAGGCCACTAATCTGGTAAAGCACCAGACGGCCGTTTCACCTTATGGGGGCTCGTAACTGTTGCACGTTTCCTCGGTCCTCTTCAGAGAACCGAACCCATGACTGCTAACAGCTTGCGCTAACTAACCAGCTGCTTATCCCTCTGAGTCATGGGGGGAAGTCATATCTTGCACGCGTTATATCTTCCAGTCAGCTTGCAAGTTATAATGATCTGCCACCGTTCTAGTGGCATAAGCTGCTGGCTAGTAGCGCAAGCTGCTAGCAGTCGTTGGTTCAGTTCCCTGAAGAAGACCGATGGAATGTGCACCACTGATATGGTTTCATAGGGCGAAACGGCCATCTGTTGCATTTTTGGATTCGTTGTGAGTTGCTTAGACAAGTCAGTAACGTCTGATTGTCTGATTGCAGCGCCTGACAACTCGTTGCTTGCTGCATGCATGTAACATCTGTAAACTTAGTGCTTGCACTCACTATCTGTGTTCCGAAGCACCGTGCCATCCACTTTAGATTTTGATGGTTATTTTCGCATCGCTTGTTAATGGTTACATCGTGTGGCACAATTAAGTGGAAGTGATCTCAGCACGACCACTGGGGTTTAATGATAACCACTATAACAGTCCTGTTCCTCACCTTTAGTTTTGCGACTGACACAAGCCGGGAAATCTGGTCTTTTGCACTTTTCGGATTTCAGTCACAATACGCTGGAGATCTCAAAACACCGAAAAAGACTTGATTTGCTTCTATTTTTACTTCCTTGAACCCTTTAGTCTAGTTGGAGTGATTTATAAAGCGCTCAATAGCACCACTCCGCATAACTCAGTGGATTGGTCAGGAGCACAAATCGGTGTCCCACGTTAAGTTCCGTTTTCTGCATGCTCCCTGATACTATTGCCTGTTGGATGGATGATTCAGTGGGATGGTCTAACTGTTTCTGCACCACTGGCCGAGTGGTCTGTACGCCTAACTTGCAATCATACAGTCGCCGGTTCGAATCCGTGTACGGGCGGGCTTTCTCGGGGTACTATCAGCCCATGCGCGACTGGTAGTGGTCGCGCGGCAGCGAAGCACCGTTACGGCATACAACTAAGGTTTTTTTAATTTTTTCGTATCACTGCCACCCACTAGTCTCCATTTTGTCATATTTACTGAATACTACGGTGCTTAAAACCAATGCGTGTGAGTCATGTTAAGAAACAAGACATAGGATTTGTTTTAACTACTGAAAACTGTTTTACAAGCGCAAGTTTAAATTGAAATTTTCGCAACCTCACTAAAATGTAATCAAAAATGTTTAAACAAAAAATCTGTTACCGGTTATTGTCCTCACTTTGACCTACTACTCACTGATCCAAGTCGTAGCCTTACACACCATACGCCAAAATTCGACTAACGAGTAGCAGGGCGGTTGGTATGGTTCTGTGAAGCTTCGTCGCAGCTAGATTCAGCCACGCAGCTACCGCATATCCAGAGAAGTGTTAGACTGCTATTTCGTCCTGTTGATACTCGTCAATAGCACGTACCCGCTGGATCCTGCACGGCTTCGCACCCACAATCTTACTCTCTTCAGACCCAGCGAATTATACCAGTAACGGCAACGGACCATCATGACTGATATCTAACTACCATATGGTGCAGCTCATCCTGTACCCTCATTTATGTTAAGCGCATGCAGAAGACATGGCCGCCGTCACCTAGCGCTCAGTGAAATAAGTCGTTGGCTGGTAAGCGTAAAGCCATGGGTTCGAATCCGGAAAGGCGTGTTTATTGCTTATCACGCTGACCTTCAGCTGTGCAGCGCGAGAAACAGACGCTGCGATTTCGTATTAACTTGGACGTCATACCTTTTGCGAATTTGCGTGCAAGTTATCCGCTTTGGCTTATCTAAGAACCTTCTCATGTCCTCGGACGTCTGCAAACGTCTGTTTGAATCGTCTATACAATCAGCTTCACAATTGAATGTCTCGTCAATATCCTTTACTTGAGGGAAGTCAACGTATCAAAAAAGATGACGGTGGTTCCCACTTTCTTGACTGCACTAAGCGCCAAAACTTGCGCAACTGTTACCAACAGACAGAACAATTGATCTCTTTTTTTCATTTTGCTGAATCCATATCCTCCGTTGACTGAGACGAAGCTTGACCTAAGAACCGCATATTATTGCGATTCCTGCTCTTAGAGCGCGTAATCAGACGCGACGACTTGGCAGCTTCAGTATTTCATTAGGCGTTGGTAGATTAAGTGGCAACTGAAACATCCTGTGATTCTTTGGAGCGTATGACATCCCGTCAGTTTAGCTAATATTGCCAGGTATATCACCAAATCTATGTGTTTAATTTCTTTGTCTTATACACTCTAAGCTCTGTAGGATGATCGGATCTTATCGCGAGGACTGCCTCTCGTTTTACGGGGAAATATGCATTATTACTGTTACCCTTGTTACCATTGTTACTGTTACCATTATTTGACTATATAAGTCATTTTCTTTGCAACGACGCGATTTCCCTCTGTGATCCATCAGACAATGCTTAGGGGTGTTTTATTGCAATGGTTGATCACTAAGCTCGATTTTCCTAGCCGATTTCTTCTTCCGGGCTGAAGTCCGCCTTATCCACCCCGTACTTTGTGACGTTACAGCGCTTGATGGTGTAGCTATTTTTCATTTATCACCTAGAGATTGCTCGACGAATGTGTGAAATGGAAGCAGGTCTGTAAGATTTTCTGTAGACAAATCTCAGATACTTTGCCACGGATGCTGCATACCAGAACCCTTCGTCACACTCATACTGGTGCCCCCATCGCAACCGTCCGAGACTTGAGCACTCGACATTCCAACAACTCCAATTTTCCCGAGCGTATCCTACTTTAAGTAGCGAATGCAAAACAAGTAGCAGCTTACGTAACTAGATCATTTTCACTTCCTCGAACGCGACTGGTGTCATTCAAATCCATAGTGTGACCCACACTTGTAGTACTGCACGATTAATCGCGGTCATTTACGAAAGAGATAGACTCGCTTTCATTCACCAAAACGATTTTGGGGCGCTCGTCAACGCCCAACCATGAGGAAGGATATCGTTATGTCCAACTTGACCTACTCTGGCTCCGATGACTGGAGGGCAACTCCATTCTTCACTACGGTACCGTATATTTGCGAGTCTTCTCAACCAGTGCAGCTCTCGTACTATGAAATGGTCAATTTATCCCACTCGGGGAATGGGAGGTACCTGTAATGCATACAAAAGACCAAGCAACTTGCTCGCTTAGACTTCTCCCTAGTGATATACGCCCATTTATGAAACACGCCGCCGCTGCAAATAAGGATAAGTGAGATCAAGTCTGCAGTTAGATCTCTTCTGGAGACTTTCCTTTTCATAAAAAAATTTTCGACCTTCAGTGATTTACAAGCGCACCCATGGAATCCGGTCCGAATAACATGACACAACTAGTTCTCCTATCTGTTCCTATATGTTCTGCAAAACATGTGCATAACTGATCCATGTTGACTCCAAAGTTCATTCATGAAATATTTATGAATCTCACTGTTCATGAACTTACACCTCGTATCCGAACATGCTAAGGCGTTCAGAGCTTTCAGTGGACCGAAAACTTTATCTAACTTACCTCGATTTTTGGTATACAAGCCTGTACAAACGACTGGTCCCTAGCTGAAACGCATCTCGCCTGTAGGGAAATATCTCCATTGGATTGTCATTTATTCGATAGGTTCCGGTGATGTGTTTGCCACCTTCCCGTTAACAGGTTACCTACTTGCGGTGTGTATGGCGCTGATCAAACTGTGAGTCAAGGTCGATTGGGGTACGGTGCAGTGTAACCTCAGAAAGGTGGTCTAACCGACACCGTCTTGTTTTCGTGATGTTATATAGTGTTGTGACCGTTCGGTGTTGGTAAGGTGTAGATAACTTCCCCCTGAATGCTTATTTATGTGTCTGGGCACCCGTTTTGTTCCCCATTTGATTAATCCCACTCCTTGTACGCTGAGTCATCTCCCTTAATTCATGTTTGAATGGTAACAAATAATCAGTAGGAACTATTGTTGGTTGGGATGCTTCTTATTGGAACACCTAACATTACCACGAAAGCCTGGGATACGATTACATCAGTCTTCCAATACTCACTTTCCTGACTCAATTGCCGCGCTCTCGCATTACAACTCGGCTACTATGAGTTTCACTGCTTTGCATTTTCTATTTTCAGGCCTCTGGAGCTGTTTGACCGCGCAAGGAGTTAATCAGCTGGCATACACCCCCTACTACAACATCTCAGTCTTGATAGGTGGTTGTTTGAGATGTGGTATTTGCGTTTTAGCCTTCAGTAAATCATAATCTTACTTTTTTGAAAAACTGTTATCTGTGTGGGCCTTTGCTCTAAATTTCGACTACATTTGCACTATGGCATTGGTTATCTCATTGAGAAGCTGGACGGTACAGAATTTTCACGATTGACTCGAGCTTACTGCTTCCTTCAAGCCTCCGCTGATCATCCTTGGCCTTACCTATCCCCATCTTTTCTGCTTCGTCATTTGAGATTGATCACCGTCGGTGCAACCTATGTAACTGAATTCATGCACTGTCGTATGTTTTTCTGTTGTCTGCTATACCCCATCAGAATCTACGCATCCCGTTTCCATTCCACACTTCTGTTTGTTCTTCAAAGTGTCTTGTTGTTCCATCTTTCATGGCTTTTTATTGCCTCTTTTTCCTTTCACAGCTCCGGAACGCATTCCGCTTCATGCTTGGTAATCTTAATGACTTTGAACCCGTCACTCAATTGGCCGATTTGACGAACTCTGAGCCAACTGTCTGCACAAGTATCAACAAGTTGGTGTACGAATTTGTTCGTGTCACTTGTTCGCCTTCGTTCCTCAAGTCTTCGCCGTTGATGGCACTGAGCTGTGCCGTATTCTCATGGTTGGGTCAATTAGTCCAATCCGCACTGTACACCTATTATCCGGACTGCCGTTTCAATGCATTATTAGCTGACGTGGAACGATTCGTGTCGCGTTTGTCATCTATTTATTTCACCGCTGCCAAAGACACGTGAGCACCATTTAAATTTGCCCAATTCGTGACTTTTCTGACTTTATATCTTCACTGTTTATTTTTCTTTGATGTATCCTATCTCTAACTGGCCGACTCACGGAGTCTAGAAAACTTCCTTCTCCAGCTTACTCATGGTACTCAACTTCATTATCCAGGTTCGAAACCTGCACCTTCCAAGCAGATGCGTTCCTCTTTCTCCCGGTTGCTATCCACATTCTGTGCACTTAGCACAATTTTATTTCCCTTCGGGTTTGTGAGGAATTTTATGGTGACTATTTTTTCCATTCACGAAACCCCTGCATTAAATCGGGTACTCCAGCTTGCGCTCTTGTCCACTCCATTAAGCTGTGGTGCTACCGGTTACTTGAACACATGGTCTACACAGCGTTGTCAAACGCCATTGTAGCAGCAATTAAATTCCGTTAGGATTTTCTTATTTCCCACTTTTCAGTGCTATCATAAGCTTCATTTAGAAATGTTCCCTTACGTGTTGGCTGTAAAATTGCTGGTCCGCTTCAAAGGAACACTGGTTGTGTTCAATAGAGCACTCTCCGACTTAATGACATACTCTCGTTCGATGTCACTCCTTATATTTTATCCCTGTTAGGGTTAAACCAATCCTAACTAACCTAACCACCAGGATCCTCTTTCATCCGCTATCGATCACTGTATTGAACACTCCATCATAGCCAGAGCAGCGTTCGCATTCGGCATCACAGGCTGACGCATTACGGTTGTCCAACTTTAGGCCTGTAGCCTAACTTGGTCAAATACATGGGTTCTCGATATGTGCCTGTTCTCTTAGTACCGGGTTGCAACAATTTGGCGATGGGGGTGGGATGGATCAAGACGGTGTTTTTACAGTCACTTGGAATGCAATTTTTTCACAAGAGCATGAGAAATTTGGAGTCGCCCGGTTACGCAGGATCTAGATTTCACCAGACACTTATCTGTTCAACCAAGTGTAGATTCGGCACCTAAGCATGGTCGAGACCGTCACTCGACACTTATATTTTCAGCCGGCGGTCCTCAGGCATTTACGAATGATCTGGACAGTCACTCGACATTTGCCTCTCCAGTCGGCCGATGCCAGACTACCGAAGAGCCCTCATTTGACGCACCAATCAACAGTGGCTTACAGCAAATGTTTCGAGCAACAGTCCCACTTCTTTTGCAGCTGCAACAACCCAAGTGTCAGAAGACTCTCAAGGATGTCATGCAATTAAAAGTTTTCTTTGCAGGGAAGTGTTAGGGTTAGATCACTGCTAACTAACCCAACCACAATGATCATCGATCAACCGCTATCAATCACTGTGTTTAACACCTCGTCATAGCCAGGGCAGCATTCGCATTCTGCGTCATGGGCTTACGCAGTACGGTTTTCCAACTTCAGGCCTGTAGTCCAACTTGGTCAAATACATGGATTCTCGAAATGTTCCCGTTCTCTTAGTACCGTTTCACACACATACACATCGAGAGAGATGGACTATAGTTTGCCGCCGCCACCTTTTGACCCCGGGCGACAGTCCGTCCATAGGTCCGCTAGTCCGTATCTTGTTCAGACCTATTTATTCCACGTTTTCTGCTGCAGATGATACAGCGCATGTGTCACTTTCCCAACTAGCCGCTTAAATGGAATCTTATTGCTCGGCGATGAAAGTTTCCAGGGTGCTTTATGGATGTATCCAGCGATTCATTCATGTTCTTTGGACAAACTGTCTTTCCCTCTTTGTAAAACATGGCTAAGAATTTTCCTTGGCTGCCTGGAGCTGCTTGCGCTCTTTACTCCGGCAGTGTCACGGCGCCACACAAGATCAAGTACCTACAACAGTTCCTGGCTAGTTAAGGTCAGCTATGCCTCGATGTCCTCCGTATTTTCGCTTATGTAACCGCTGCTTCCACTTTATGTACATTCGGTATTCTTTGAGGTGTTCCACACTGTTATAGGGTGAAGGGAAATCTGAGCATATCCCTCGCTCCTATACAGCAGATCCAATGAAACTAACCCAGCAAACTTTACCAACACAGTGTTGCTTCAGACCCTTGTCGCTCCCATCTTCTACTGAAATACCTGTGGAATAGCCGCTCAATTACCTATCAAAGAGAGTACCCTTTACAAACTCAGTATTTGCTCTGCAATTTCATTCGATGTTGTACAGACCACTGCATCCAATAGGGATATCCACTAGTACAAACCAGCTTCCATGTTGTCGTGATGATCAACATGTTTGCGTATTTTTTTACCTGTGTCAGACGTGTGAAACTGCGGACCCCTCAGGGGATGTATTGGTCACTTTCGTTGCCATAAACAATGGAATAATGGTTTATGATAGGTATAAAAAGTTCATGTATAGAAGGAATCGCAAATTCGGAGATTGCACTTGCAGACAGCTCGAATACGCATCGGTGGAGCGATGAGGCCACGGCATGTCAGGAGCAGGGTTGTGGAAATGAGATAGCACCATGCAAAACAGGACGACGACTTGTAATTACTAATGCTTACACTAAAGAACAATCGGATTGCTTACCCATTTACGCTGATTTACCTGCATCAGTACGGATTATAATTCCAAAGAATCTAGTTAGCCGGAATACATCCCGATGTCCCTACATTTAACACAGTAAGGTTCTGAGTGAGATATACTGACATTTTTTGGAAATCGCTCAACTGGGTCGCAGGTGAGCTTGCATAGGACCGCATCTTTGACATGCCTTTCTTTGCTCACACCAGAGTATGCCGTATCTATGTGAAGGTGTGTATACCGAACAAATTTTGCTTAGCCTCACGTAATCCGCGAACAAATGATGCGAACAAATCACATCAAAGCAGCACACACATCTTGTGAGCTCGAACTAACTTTGTGCTAAATAGGGTCCAGCACAACCTTTAACTTGCGTTCGGCACCATACGCGCTGGAGCTCTGCAACCAAGAGCAGATGAAGCCAGACTCTGGCGTGTCAGAGATGATAGTTAGAGTAGCTACTGTAAACATGGGCCTGTCACCCTTACAAGCGTGCAGGTTTTACATTCGTGCGCATAACGGGATCCAATACGCGTAAATACATTGCGTCGACAAGACTGACTTCCCGTCTACGTAGTTTTGCGGATCGCTCACATCTGGTCAGGATTGACTGAACTCGCTCTTTCCGTAAAACATCGGTTATACTGTTACCAATTTCACGGGACCTTGTCACTAATGATGTTTTATTGTGAGTCCGGTGAAGTTGACTAACTTTCATAGTGCTATAAGTTCGAAGTAAAACGTCTATCGGCCTGATCCGCAGAGTCCACATTTTTGGAGGAACTGACGTCACAGGCGTAGAGTGTTACCATTCCCGCACGCGTTTTTCTGACTGGGGGGACGTCAGTCGTTATTACGACCAAGCTTGACAATTGTCTTCGGGCGTGCGACGAATGCAAGGCGACCACCAAACAACGCTTTCTAGTCAGGTATCAATTACCCCGCATTACTCTTTGTGCTTAATACTTTCGGACGGTAGGAATTTACCTACCTTGATTCCAGTCACATATATTCGCGAACAGGGCTCACCACAATCTCAACACGCCTAAGATGTTGCAAATATGCTCGTTTGTCTTTTGGAGTCGGTTATACTCTGGAATTTCTCAGGAGCTTATTGCTAATATATTTAAGAATGTACGTTTACTTTTGCCTACTTGGAATTGGCCCATGTCTGCATTTTCTGGCACTAAACTTCTTTGGTTCTTCCATTTTTGCGCAAGTCAGTGGCAAGAAATGAATTGAGGCTGCAAAGTTCCCAGTTTGCCTTCCACTTCTCCATCTGTTTGTCATTTCGGATATCGACTTGTTAATCTCGTTTATATTTTATGTGCCAATCTAAAGTCTTGTCTGACAAACTATCATTTAGTTTGCGATTTACACCTACAGGATGCCATATCTTATAATAAGGTCATCTGCCACTAACTAGCGCCTTCTATTTTGACGAAGAGGATCTGGAGATTACCGTTGCATTCACTTCTGTTGTAAGTTACCTTAACAGCGGTTAACATCTGCTTACCAGAAGGGGCTCGTGTATTGTGAGAGTTAGAACTACCTTTATGATCCATTTGGCATCAGCAAAAAGCTCTTCACTTAGTCTTCAAGGCTGCATTCACCTAATCACAGTGTGTATCATTCCCCCTGACGATAATGTGAGGTATTGCAATGTTTTCAGGTTACGTTTACTTTCCTCGACTAGATGGCGTGCTTACATGGGAATTCCAGGTGATGTTACTCAGTTTTTTTCTTGTTTCCGAATCGACAGTGACATACGGTCCCATTGGCGGGAGTCGCTTTTGAAACGAGAAATTAAGTCCACGAACATGGAAATAGATGGGTGTTGCTCTTCCCAACGCTGGCACACCACAACCGCGTTTCTTCCTGGTTTAGACTCGTCAGGTGGTGCTAGCCTGAGCTGGGGTGGAACTCATAGCCTCGTAGTTCACGGCTGACGCCCTGAACACTATGTCACTGAGATCCGCGAGCAATGCTTGACACAGCGGAACGCAATTCAAAGCAGAATTTAGGGAACACGCTGTGTGGCTTGGTTGCGAGTCACAACCCAACCACACAGCGTGTTCCCTAAATTCTGCTTTCAAGTCCACCACCACTAGCTTATGTGTGACATCCTGTTTCGCCTCTCAAATCGGAGTCTACGTGACGCACCTATATTTGGATAGACATTTTAAGACTTATCCCGCACCCGGTATCCGTGTTCATTCAAACTCTGGACATTTTGCTTCTGATGCTCACTTAGCATCATATATCCTACACTTGTCTCACCCTTTTTCTTCCTTATTAGTGGAGTCACCCTTCTTCCTGTGTGATCATGTGTTAGCTAGGTACCAGTGCAAGCTATGAAATGATCATGTTTTTATTACTTGCGCTTTATAATCAACTCTCTTGAATCTGATTGTGCATATTTTCCGCATATTTCTGTTCGCTCGATGGAGCCACTGTATCTATGTAACAAGTGAAGAGTCTGTGAATTTATGCCTTTTATAAGAGATGGCTTCTTTTGTTACTGTGCTCTTGCGAACTTCACCCGTTATGGTGCTCCAGAGTGCCGGTAGTGCTTTCATTGTCTTTCTCTGCACCTCTGCTTTTTTCATCGTCTTATAGATTTGAAAAGAATGTCGAAATGTTTTGGGATGATTTCGTTTTCTCTTCACGCTTGTAGAACTTTTATTTATGCACTGTAACATCTCTGGTGTGTACCTGTTTTACACCTTCGGATCCCTTTTTTTCTTTTTAGTCTCTACTGTGATCCTATTGACTGCCCTGAGAGACGCCTGGTCCAAACCGTGTTTTGGCTGTCTTCCGAATGCCTCAAAGCTCTTTTGGCCCCTCTTGTTCCTTACTTAGTGGAAGAAGTCGAAGATGCTTGTCGAAACTGCTGGTCTAAAGATCCCCGGATTGAGTTACACAAACCTTATTCGTCGCTCCTAGAGCGCTATGCTTCAGATTGCATCGTTCCAACTTACCGCTCATCCGGTCTTCCACATTCCGACTGGCAGACCTGTCTAGAAACGATGACTCAGTGGTCTCAGTACCATGCTTTCTCGAACGCTGTAGAGCTCCTCCATGCTTTCTTTTTGTCCACCACCAATCAGATCGCTTCAGTCGGACAGTCCACCACCGCTGCAAACGCTTTGGGCAATGTTCACTTATCACTAGCTGTTACTTCTTGTGAGTCTTCGCAGCAGCTGATTCAGTCGTTACTGGTGAGTCCATTTTCTTCCCCATGTTGTGCTTATTTCACATTCACCCTGTTTCCACCACTCACTTATACACATGTTGTGATCGTGTAATGATCGGTATCTCCTATAGTTTGACACGGTATTCACCCATTTCTTATCCCAACAGCTTATCCTCGACTTCTGCGCAACTTGCTAGAGGGCTTATTTTTACGCTTATAATGAAAGGCATAACCAACGGAAGTGTTCTTATTGTTTCTGCGACACTTGCTTCATGCCGAGTGCATTTGCTTTAGTTGCCGGATAGAATCCTACTACCATTCTGCTCAGGGACCATTGCAAAATTTTTCATCCTTGGTTGTTTTCTCAGCAATTCCCAGTTAAGAATTTTTCGTTCAGCACCATATGCCGGCTGATTCCGCCCCGTCATCTTTCCATCCGTAAACTTACTTTTTCAGCTACTGGAGCGATTTGGCCCCGGAATCGGCTCACGTTCAGATTTGTGCCTGATATTTCGCACGGCCTCTCTGGATTGGCAAGTGACTCTTCCGGAACAGCCGTCCTCTTCAAGATATCCGACATCCGAGAACAACGTTTTGCGCTTTGAGTTTCAAGGTTCCCCTGTTGCCATTAGTTTCCACTTTGCTGACAAGAGTGCTCGGTGTCCTCGTTGTACCCGGTACTTCAAGGAATCACCGTCACCTCTGTGTAGACGATGTACAGAGACTCTCATACACAAGGGCTTCCCGGTCACAATCAGCGGATAGTCTTTTTTCCATGAATCCTGCCCGCATCGTCTTTTGACACTTCGTATTTCTCTTAGTCTGAGCTCCCTCCGGGGTTACTTGATGTACCCGTGGGACGTCGATTTTGTCCTCACTTGCACACATTTCTTGTTCGGAGCAAACTTATCTCCTTTCGCTCTGCCCCATTCCAATTGCCGTGACGCCGCGCTCATTGTCTGTGTAATGTGCTGAACCAGGCTACTTTGGACGGGGATCCCAGCCAGCCATATTTCTGTAATATATTGCAGGTGCATCTCCTTTCACCTAACTGGCATGAAGTGGTTTCATTGTATCCTGTTGCTCACAGAAAGCCCACAGAATGTCCCGCTCAACCAGAATTCCATCCATCTACCAACTTTTCTTTTTGCATGGTTTGCTTCTCGCATCCTCTCCTTACTCCTCTAGCATTTCGTGTTTTCTTTAAAGCGCGAAAGTAAAATTTCCTCCAACTGACTTTGTTCGACGATATAAGTGCGTTGGAGTCCACTTTTTCCAACCACTGCATTCTCCTCTCTCCTGGTTTGTACCCACTACTTTGTTCTAGTGTTCAAACCTGTTTCATCTGCCCCTCCTTCAACTCTATCTATTCTTTATCTGAAATTTAAAATAGGTCAAACTTATGTTCTTCTGAAACATCTAGCATTTCTCCTAGAATGGAGAGCACGAGGCCACCCAGTTACATTCGAACGAGTTATTTACTTTTGTGTTCTGTGAAACTCCGATACTCCCATCTTATGCACATTTGTATATCAAGTGAACATTCGCTTTCCCGATTTATCGAGTCCTTCATCCGTCCTTGATGCTGGTGTGCGCTTCTTGCTAGTTATCCGCTCGTATATTGATAGTGTACCCCTGACATTGCAGCATGTTGGCTTCTCCCGCGTGTAGCCGGATTTCCAGGGCTGCGTGATGACTCCATTCATGGCAAAACGGGCAATACGCCGGCACACCGTACCGACGCTTCGCTGCCACGAGACCACCACCATTCGCGCATGGGCTGAGTATACTGCGATTTCTCACGCACCTACGCGAACTCTAACCAGGGACCTCCGGACTACAACGCAGGCGTGCCATCATCTCGGCCAACAGTCGGCTCGTGTACCTGAATTCATGCCGCGAAAAGACGAAGCTTCAGCGGTTTACCATCTTCATACTTCTCATATGCAAACCGCGTACGTACGGCAGCAAAGCATTATGATTCAGGACACTATAATAACCGGAGCACAGTTGTTGATCGACGCGTACTAACGATCCAGAATAATTCAATAGATAAGGTGGATCCAAAGATTAAGGTACTATTTACAAGGCGTTAGTATCATGCAAGAACAATCCTAGTGATCGAATGGCCAAGGTTCACTTCAATGGGAATCGCGGTCTACTTTGAGATTGCGCGTCGCAATCCATCCACACAACGTGTACTTCAAATTCACTTTCCAATCCTCAATTGTTTGCACTCTTGCGCCAAGAGTGAATAGCGCTTCATAGGCCCTCAAAACTGCCAATGCACACGAAACCGTCGACCTCACTAGCCGTCTGAAACGCAAGAGTTTTAACATCGTGGCGTCGATCAAGTATGTTGACCTCAAGTCAACACTGGTCTGTTGATCGATGCGTTTCCTGTCCGTCTCGATTTGACCCTTGGACATGATCCGACATCTGCTTGATCTGGTCTTTGAAGCATGTATTTGTTTTGACCCCTGGTCCCGAGCTTCGCTGATCTACGTTCCAGGAAACACACCTCCCTAGCACTCCCCTTTACCTTTTTAACTGTGCTATCTCCGTCTTGGGTCAACATGTAACCCAGTCAGCGGCTTCCCTGCCTGGCTGAATTTGCGTCTATTCCGGTGTGTGATATCTGCCGTTTGTACCAGCTTGGTAGCCGTTCCGACTTCAGCACACCTTTCCTGTTCAAATACCTCTAGTAGAAAAGCGAGGCTTAATGCTCCACCACCGCACTTTTGTGCACAACAGAGCGTTCGCCTGAGCTAGCGTGGTGCCTCCACAGTATTGGACCCAGCTGGTCCTTTTGCAGAACACAACCAATCCGCATTTGATGATATTGACGATCACCTTTTGATGTCCTCACCATCTACTTTTCTGAAGTGATAACGACTTCTGGCCGCAAACCAGTCGGATAACGTCATATGCCAGACGTTATTACTTGTTCCTTAACTTCGGCGGGGTAACAGACGTTCGAACTTCGCGAATTTACGCCGTTTCCATAGTGTGATGACGATGTATCCTGTAGTTACACTGTTGTTCCTTCCTACATTTTATTAATGTACGCGTAAATGTGTCTACAGATCTGTGGTTGGGAAAGTGACTGATGTGATTGACCCCGTGTCTTGTGGAATCAGCAAACGGCCTCTAAGTAAACTTGATGCTGTTATCGGACTCATCTGTTTCCGGAAAACCAAAAATAGAAAACAGATTTCGTAGTTTGGCAGCCCTTGAGCATGTAAGCCTCAAACGGCTTGGATGCCTTGAGCCAACTCGTTTCCACCGGAATCACCAAGAACAAAGCCGACACTGGAATACGGTACTATGTGCAAACAATTAGCGACAGCAATGTAAAATACCTCAACAATCGGTGCTTCCAGCACAAGCATTATTAACAACTTCAATCCAATCAATTATAACCAACGAGTATGGCTTCTAGTCGCACTGCAACAAACTATCGTGTCAGTGCACTGGCTTATGCACGACAGACGGATTCAGGTACTGACCAATCAAATAGGCTACCCTGGATCGTGGGCGCTGAGAATCTGTGTACTACACACACACATTGATGACTGTAAGCGCTTCCTTTTTACTTAGGGTGCTGAATACAACGATAGGCCGCACGAACCAAATGGTTGCCATGTGTGTACTGTCCACCCACGCAATCATATCAATCTTGTGCGATCACAACTGCGATGCGAGGTAATGTAAGTCGCAATATGACAAAATAGTTTACGCATCATCGTCCACAGAGCGCAAGGGATAGAGATTGAAACATTCCAGAGCACCGATAGCATACCGGGCTTTACTATATAGTACGATAGTCAAGTTCGTTCAGCAGTGTTAACTAGTTTATCGAGTGCGTGGTTGAAGACGAACTGCCTAATTCTCAAAGTGCGAAATAAGCCCGTATGTAAGTTAACGGAATGTAGGCTGATAGCCAGAGCACAAAATTTGTGTTGGGACGATTACAACTGTTGGGTAACTAATACTGGGAACCAAAGCTAGGGAGTCATTGAGCGGGACGAAACGCATCAAAGGATTAAGCATTCAGGATTCTTCTACAGGATCCATGAGGAAGACATTCACAACGATTAGCAAATTTTGTCGGTTACTCCGTTTGATAACATTCATGTTTCAACGCATCCATATTCTCTCTGGTTTGGCCAAGGTTCTGTCGGTCGTCGGCTGGGCATTTGCGAATAATGGCGCATCCGCATAGACGTTTCAGTTGTTCATCCATACCTGGCCAATAGACCTTGCTTCTCGCCAAGGCCTTTATTCCGAGTGTTCCGCATGAAACAGCATCAATTTTCTACGGTGGTTTTCGTATGAAGTGACGATGCGGTCGATAAAACGGTAACAAGTTCCTACGCTAAAAAATTAGAGTTAGACTGTGTCCTAGCCAGGTGGATCGGTGGTACATCCTCGCATTTTGTAGGGTGGTGTCTGATTTATTTACCTTGCGGACCATCTCAAAGGTCACCGGTAGCTGCTTTATGGTCTCCAAAACAATTGCTTAACTCCGGATACTTCGATGATGTTTGCGACCACCGCTTCTGTTTCCGAGCTGTGATCATATATTAGTCGCGATAGCGTGTCTGTTTGTCCAATGCTACTTGGTAGTTCAGTACACTTGTGGCCCTGTGCTGTAGCCTGTTTGCTGTGTGTACTTATATGCCTTTCTTGGAGCCACAAATGGCCCATAACGGCTTCTTGTCCGTGACAGGGGCAAAATATTTCGCATCGGGCATTCTATGCAACTTCTTTACGGCAATGATAGCCAGTGCTTCCTTCTCAATTTGACTATAGTTTCTCTCTACTAGGAGTAGAGATCAAGCGCCATGGGCCATCGTCTTCTTCGTTCCATCAGGAAATTCGTGGGTTATAACTGCTCCTAATCTACGATTTGATGCGCCAGTTTGCATGATCGGAATTTTTGCATCAAAATGTGTCAGCAGAGGTTCGGGTTTAAGTACTCATATTTCTGCTCAAAAGCACCTTGACATTTCTAAATCGTGTCCATTTATATCCCGTCTTAGGAATCTAATTCATTGGTTCTAGCAACTGGGGCATACTCGATAGGAAAACGCTATAATAGTTGATCAATCCGAGGAATGACTTAAGTTCATCAGCATTCAAAGGTGGGGCTTTTTTATGTTGGCTCAGTGTTTGCTGTGAGGTGTCGGCGACCACCTTGATCGGTGATAAAACAAAGGTACTTTATCTAATTCAAGAACTCACGTTCGCCCTCTACATAGATGAGCAGTTCTGATCTCGTTAGTCCCGTGGTTATGAAGTCATCAAGGTAGGCAGTAGCTCCTTCCATAATTTGTTGAAAGATGATTTGGGCCATCTTTACGCCAAAAAGTAAAAGGGTGTATTGAAACAAACCACGGTGGTTGTTGATTGTGAACAGATTCCCGAATTCAGTTGCCGCCTCCAGGTTTAAGTTGAGGTCCAGTTTAGTGAGACACCGTTCCTTTTCGCAAAAATGTCCTCCGCTAGTGCTAGCGGTTAAAGATGATCATCGAAGGCATCATCCAGTCCTATGGAATAGTCGGCACAAATTCAGACAATCCCATCTGGTCTCTTACACGGACGATTGTCGCGGCCCCGTAAGGTTATTTCACCGACTTCAGAACTCTTGACTGAAAATTGTTTGGCATTCGGGTGCAAATGAAGCATTAATTTTGCTCGCAAGCAGCATCTAAGAGTATTCGTAAATATCGTACTGAGGTTATTCAAGTGTGTCAGAGCATCACCATTTTCCTAGTTAGCTTCGACACTCAGGGTTGGGTAGGTGTTGACAAACACAACTTGGCGTTCGGCATGTTAGAAAATTCCAAACGATCAATACAATAACTACTCAACAGGTTCAGCGCACATGCAACTGTGCGGTCATCGCACTTGTCTTGAATTTCCAGCTCACAGTCTGTTTATCCAAAGGATTGGATTATACCGCCGGATGCATTTTTGACGAAAGATAAGTGAGTCTAGCTTCTTTCAGATACTTTTGCATAATGTCCTTATATCGGAATCCGTATCGAACTGCAAAACAATCGTCCTGTTTGTTCTCATGATTAGTCACTTGCGGTGACACTTAATGTTAGAATCTGTTCTTGTAACCAAGGCAGTGAATTTGAATTCGGTGCTGTGCAATCGACTGCTAGATCGGAGTATACGGCCTAACGTCTGGACGTGTTTCGTTGTCCGGCATTGATTCTCTTTGTTGCTGCGTCAAGTCAAGAAAGTGCTTTATGCACTTAGAACGGGCGAATATTCAGTCGTAACACACACATTTAGCGGTAGCATGAAGTTGAAATAAGTGGATCAATAATTGAAAAAGAATAATACCATCACAGCATAAACCGGGTTGTTACTCGTTGAACAGCTTTGTTTTACTCTAGTATAGATCGTGCTGGGTAGGGGATAATTGACTAACGGTACGCTCATGTACGGGCATATATGGATTTGTACTTCTCTCTGGTTAAAAAGGTTGACACACATTCAGACAATACACAACGGAGGGTTGACTTGTGTCCGCAAGTAACGTTGATGCTAGTTTCTTGCAAGAAGCAACCTGATTGGATACAAGTATATCAACGAACGTCCGCTTCGATACATCGCGACAAGCGTTTAACCGACCTGGAGATTAGTCTAAAGTTCTTGCCCAACAGCTCAGGAGAAACTATTGGTGAACCGTATGTCCAGTGTGACAGAACACAAGCAGTGACAAAGTGGACTATCAAATCATGCGAGACAGAGCAAGC